GGACGCCTCAGTTGACACTGCTTAATGCGATTATCCCGGGTGTTCGACTTCCTTCGATGTTATTCTTTTTTTTTTCTATTACATTTGCTGTCTTCCGAATCTTCTACTTTTTTTCTTAATGCCTCTCTATCCTCGTACCAACTGTGCAGTTGCATTCTTAGTCATACTGGGGATGCTATTTCCGCTTCATAGCAGATGCACTTTCCGATCTGCCTGTTTAGATCCTCTGCATGTATGATCGAAAGTAAACTCTCTTATAAGAATTTCGACGCGCTAAAACGACTACTAACGCCTCCTGTTAACACTACAGCTAACCCAAACTAGACGTCCTCGTCGTTTCCAGTCGCTTGCACTCTCGATAAAAGCCTGTGCTTATTAAGTCTGCATGCATTATTCTCGCTCGTAATAGTAATTATATTATGAAAATCCTCATTTATAGCGCTCCCATGAATAGTTTTTTTTTTCTTGTTAAGTCAATTTCCTGAGAATTAATTCCTCTGCTTTATTTATTCAGTAACGTTCTGCGTGTAAACTTTTAAGGAGTCAAATGTCACAAACGTACATTGTGATTATTAATCATCAGACTATTACAGTAATATGCGTCTCGGCAGACCAACCAAAGTCGATAAATCATAGTGATACGGACGAAGATTGCGAGTGTCTAGACATGCCAAAACACGGTGGGAAGAAGTCATAATTTAATTCCGTCAGATAGCTCAAGCGGCGAAGAAACTGGGCAAATGACTTTTGTTTTTGCTTTAGACTGCAATGCGACGTGGAAAGATGTGGACAAAACAGGCATCTCAACACGGGTCAGGGTAGCTGTGAGCTTAAATGGACACCTTATTTGAGCACCAGTTTGAATGGACTAACTGTATGGTCACTACATCTGTCGTAGAAAGTTTCCACTCATAGAAGATTTTGGTGTATTTCGGTAACTCCTTTTAGGTGACTCAAAATGCTTGGTTTCAATCTACCCGGTGGCTGTTGTCACAAGTGCGCTGAAGACGGACTTTTTTGTGCTTTAGTTTTGCCAGAGAGGATGGTGTTCTCGCATCCGCTTGTATAGACGTCTAGTATTTCCAGCAGTTGAACCTGCTCCATTGAAGCATGTGAAGGTGGAAATGCGAATTTTAGGCCTTACCTCCATAGCGAACATAGAGAATAGTTCAGAAAATGTGTCTTATCTCGGCCACTACGTGCGTGCAGTGTTCCATATAAAATTGACTTCGTTCTCCAGTGTACCGGTTCGCTCAGTCTGCTGCCTATTCAACTGAGCATTGTCATAAAGATACGCTGGAAAGTGGACTCGTCCTTATGCGAACACTATGTAAAAGCGTTTTACCTGCCAACCTTGTTCGAACATGTTTAGACACCCTAATACCCTCACCCTCCTATTGCGTTTCTTTAGCTGGCGCTGCTCTACCGAGATCTGTGTTGCGGTACTGATTAGATTATCAATAGTCGAATTTATGTGTCTGGCGACTTTAAATTTTACACTATTCAGCAAGAATTTGAAATTAACCTTAATTCCCGTTTGAAGAGGCCCTACCCAGTTTTAGATTTTTGTATCCACTGCCACACGTTCATGTTGTCTCATTTTTTATAAATCGCGCTGTGTGATGTCGGCTTTTGGCTTTTGAAGTTTCTGGCCGTCAGGCTGCTTCCTCTTACCTGGGGCATATGTTTTGGTGACACAGACCATAAAGGGAATTTGAGAACGAGAAAACTCAAAATGAGAGGGACGTCTGTCCATTTGTTTGTTCCCACTTGCCCGAACCCATGAGCGCCGTCCTCATCGAAGATCATCCCTTGATATTCTAACGCAACTATTTTTCAAGCTCCCTCCATTACCCACCGCCGGGATACTAACCCTCACTCGCCTGTTAGTGGACAAGGCAGTATTAGAGCAGCTCCTGGATAGAAGCACCTTTCGAAAACCCTAAAAAAATCGTATATCCATTCCCAAGTAAGCACGCATGTCCTGCGGTGGAGATAAGTTAGGGCCAGATTGGGATTACGTCGAGTGTTAAACATTACTCTGACCATAAATCTTTACTGTGGTCCTTACAATGCAACCAAAAAATTTACCAGGAGGATTTTTACGTTTTTTACCCATTTGTTTTTGACTCCGCTGTAACACCGCTTGAGTGGATCAGTTGAAAGGTGTCAACTAATTTATAACTAAGAGAAGTCCTTTTTGATAAGAGTAGGTTAAACTTCCACGTAGGACTTTCGTTCGTGCTAGCAAATACTCCTCAAACCATTTTATCCGTCATATCTTTCAAAATC